CTCTCTCTCTCTCTCTCTCTCTCTCTCTCTCTCTCCCTCTCCCTCTCTCTCTCCTCTCTTTCTTTGTGTTCTGGTCCTGGAGCTTGAACTCAGAACCTGGGCACTATTCTTCCACTTTTTCCCTAAGGCTAGCACTTTACAACCTAAACCACAGCTCCACTTTCAGTTCTTAGGTTGGTGTTTAATTAGAGATAAGAGTCTCATGGGCTTTTCTGCCCTGGCTAGCTTTGAACTGTGATCCTCAGATCTCAGCCTCCTGAATAGCTAGAATTAGAGGCATGAGCCACCAGTGCCCAGGAAGCATTCCTTTTTAAAGTAAAATAATATTAAAATATTAAATATTAAAATATTACATGCATTTTCAACTATTCACTTTTGATTTTTTTTCTGGGACCTGAAAACCACATAAAGAAAACTGCTTCTGGTGACGGTTTTAATTTTATCCAGGTTATGTAATCATTTTGAAGGATCAAAATACTCTAATTCTAAAAAATTTTACATTTGAGTTTAGAGCTACAAATGTGAAAATAAATTTAGATGTGGGATCACCTGTAATATGCTCAACAAGCATGAAAAGGCTGATTTGTACTTTATGTGATCTTTCTTGTCTACCTGTCTTTTCTCCCATAATTAAATGGCCCTGTCAAAGTAGACATCACAAAAAAGATTTAGATCTTTTCATATACTGGGGCCCTGGCATATTAGAAATATGAAGCTTTCTGTTTCTTAAAAAAATTCTAGCCTCACCTATCGAAAATATGTCTATTACTTTCTGTATATGAGAAAAATGGATAAGCAGGCTGGAGGAAGGTATGTAGAGAGAAATAAGACTCATTTCTAATGATGGCATATGTAAATCTAGTAACTATTTGAGTGGTTTGTTACATGAAACTGACTCTTGAAAATAAAATATGCTTGATTCTGTATAATGGAACTCTATGATGTATAAATGAATATATATCTGTTTAAATTGCATTTCTAGAGACTCATAAGGCATTATGCTTATGTTATCATAAGGGAATGATAAGCTTGTATGAGTTATAAAATATAAAATCTTCACTTTAGGAATGATGAAACAGAATATTTTCCTTATTTCTCCAGTTCATACCCCATATGTATTTGTTACCTGGTAGTTTAGTTATAATACTAAACTGATGTCGGTTTCTTAACAAATATGGAGGTTGAGCTAAGTGATTCATAAATCACCCTATCATAAGCAATGTCATGACACCAAATATGTAGCTTACCTCTTATCAATATTTTATTGCATCTCAGAAAACCCTTCTACAGACTTTGCCACAATTGCATATATTTGCATATTTATTTAGACACAGATTTAGGGACATATACAAACACAAAACAAGCAATAAATACCTTTGAAAATATTATGGTTTATATTTAAACTTTATATAGATAAAACAAAAATTTAAATTATTCAAATGAAGCTTTTAACATGTGTATAGCAATAAATACTTTTAGGTTCACTGTGTCACTTTTCAAGCATCTGGAGTATTTCAAGAGAAAGTATGGGGTTAACATGTGAAAATGAGTAGGCAATGCACATGTCAAATATTTCAAAGAACAAAACTATTCTCTTTTCTCTCTGATTTGATCCCAAACCACAAGAACTACTAAATAATTGTTAATGCTAGCAAATCTGAAAGTTGATCAGTCAGATGGAGCCAAAAATCTAACAAAAGCATAAAAAAATGCTAAAGAAATAAAAGGCTTTATCCACTTGAAAATCTAGTACTGAATACTGCCAAGGGTGTCCATCTTGTTAGAATATTGTTTGTCAGAGTCTAATTTTTACATTCATCAATACCAGTGTGGTCAAAAAGTCTTTAAAAAATTCTTTTGTAGTTATCTTACATGATTCTTCATTTATGTCCTACAACTAGGCCAAGATATATTTTATAAAATAAAAATGCATTAGATAGAAATATACATGCACAATGTATTGTCAGACTGCTTTTGATTTCATGTGACTAACACATTTTCTAGATAGATAGATAGATAGATAGATAGATAGATAGATAGATAGATAGATAGATAGATAGATAGATAGATGGATAGAGATAGCATTAGGCAAGTTTGATAAATCTTGTAATAACACATTCTAGTTTGTTTTTCTTTTCTTTTTTTTTTTTTTGATCCGTTGTGGGGCCTGATGGGTGCTGTCCCTCAGCTCTTTAGCTCAAGGCTAGCACTCTACCACTAGAGCCGCAACACCACTTCCTGCTTTTTCTGCTTATGTGGTGCTGAGTAATCAAACCCAGGGCCCCATGCATGCCGGGCAAGTACTCTACCACTGAGCCACCTTCCCAGCCCCACATTCTGTTTTGTTAACTGAAAAATATTTTAAGCCGTTTATCACATCCATTTGAAAAATAAATTGTTCTTATTTGACATCTCAATATTATCTTTTATGGTACAGCAGAGTGACAAATTGAAAAATCATACACTTGCTGATTTTACATATATTTATTTCTACATTCTGTTTACTCCTTTCCTGTGATTTTCTGGGTCTCTAATTGTTTTGTAACCAATACGTCTAATTTCTAATTCATGTATGTATTTTTCTTCTTGCTCAGATACATACATAGATAAACTGGGTTCATGGGAAAGACATTAAAGGCTAATAAAAATAAAACCTAGAAATAGTCATGGCTTTCTTCATTGACTGTATCCATCTGCTTCCTCACAACAGGAAGAATCTCTGCAACTCATTTCTGAAATTTAACTTTAACTACCATAAAAGGTTAAAGCCATTTGAGATTTTCATTTAATAAGGTTTCCTTTTTTTAAAAAAAAACATTTATTTATTTTATTTTTGGTCAGTTGTGGGGACTGAACTCTGGGCCTGGGTTCTGTCCCTCAGTTCTTCAGCTCAAGGTTAGCACTCTACCACTTGAGCCACAGCACCACTTGTGGCTTTTTTCTGCTTATGTGGTGCTGAAGAATCAAACACAGGGCCTCATGCATGTGAGGCAAGTGCTCTACCACTGAGCCAACTTCCTGTATTCAACCAATGGCTTGCTAGATAACAAAATTCACATGCCATTTATACTATTTCTTCCTTTATCACTTTCTTTCCAAAGCTAATAAAAAATGCCTATTCATATACTTCTACTATGTATCCCTTTGACAGGAATTTATTTTGTAACTAAGGCTTTTATGTCCTTCTGCATTTAGTTGTTAAATGAAAAGTAGCATTTTTACAGTAACCTCAGTAATTTCCAGTTGGAAATGTATCTCCTAAATGATTAATGCAGACAAAGCACTTTGTTGTACAATAAAATGACACTACACCTATAAAGACAAATATGCATTTCTATAATTACATAAGCAGAAATCATTCACTTTATTGGCTTAATGGACTGTGTGTAATGGAATGAAATTCTTCAATGGTGTGGCATATGTCTTATCAACGAGCACGCAGTTTTGGAAGATGTTTATACATTTATTCACTGAACAAATACTTTTAAAACAACTTATGTGTTCCAGATACTATACTAGGTGCTGGAAGGAATAACTAGATCATGCTTTACCACTCAAATCTGTATCCCACGTATATCTATCTGATTACAACTTAGGACCAGAAAACCACCCAAGATGTAAAACCTCTTTTTAGTATGTTGAAAATGTGGCTAATTTTGTTCTGCACTCTGTGAAGTGACCTATAGAATAACTAAACCTTAACACAGAAAGATTTTAGTATAGGACTTAATATAAGATTTTTTTTCTGCACTTTTCCAGTTTCTGGATTAGGGGAACCATCCTGATTTACATTCACATTTTCAAAAGACTCAGTGTCTTCTGATTTAATTTCACATAGTGATTTACACTAATTATTATTGATGCCTTATGTAGGTGGACAAACTAATTTAATAGATTCATTATACCAGTTAAAATTAATATGAGAAGTAAAAATAGGGCTGGGAAGATGGCTCAGTGGTAGAGCCCTTGCCTTGCATGCCTGAGGCCCTGGGTTCAATTCCTCAGCACCACATAAGCAAAAATGAAAAAAGCCGGAAGTGGCGCTGTGGCTCAAGTGGTAGAGTGCTAGCCTTGAGCTGAAGAGCTGAGGGACAGCACCCAGGCTCAGAGTTCAGGCCCCACAACCAAACCCCCTCCCCCCAAAAAAAGAAGTACAAATAAATCTCAAGGTTTGAAAAACTAGGAAACAATAGAACAAAGTGAAAATAAAAGTATTCATAATAAAATGATGAGTTTACCAAATGAATGTATTGATAAGTTTGACAAATATTTAGTTGGGGATGTTGTAACAAAAAGCATTGCTATGTTTATTGGGAAAACTTTTTCAGAAAGTACAATTCTTAAAAATTAGAGTAGTGATTTACTTTTTTTTTTTTTTTTTAGTCGGTCATGGGGCCTGAACTCTGTGTCTGGACACTGTCCCTCAACTCTTCAGCTCAAGGCTAGCGCTCTAGCACTTGAGCCACAGTGCCACTTCCGCCTTTTACTGCTTATGTTGTGCTGAAGAATTGAACCCAGGGCCTCATGCCCTGGGTAAGCACTCTACCACTGAGCCACCTTCCCAGCCTGTTATTTATTTTTACTACAAAGATGGTAAGCCTATTTAACAAGGTTTATATTAATATAGGCTGTAAGGGGAATAACAATAAATATTTAGATAGAAATATTTTAAGGAAAGGGCAAAAAAGTCTTTGAATACTCAGTATTATTAATTTTTATCCTATATGCAGGCCAAACTATGAAAAGTCTTTATTGAATTTTCCAAGTATTTATTTGTTTTGGAATCAGAGTTCATATTTAAAGATCCAAAAGCCTGATGTCAGTGGCTTATACCTATAATTGTAGATTCTCAGAAGGTTCAGATCTAAGGTTTGTGGTTTAAAGCCAACCCACGCAGATAAATCTGACAGACTCTTCTCTTCAAATAAAACACACACACACAAAAAGAAAAGCCAGAGTTAGAGGAATGGCTCAAGAGGCAGAAACTCATCTGTGAGTGAAAAAGCCAAGTAAGGAAATTAACACAAAAATAATAAATAAATAAATAATAAAGATTTTAAAAAGAGTGAAGAATTCATTTGTAATAAAAGAAGGAAAAGAATACCAATGCTTAATTTTTAAATTAATTCTTTACATTGCATTCTAAAAAAAAATAAATCACCGTCCTGTCTTTTATAGATAAGCTCCATAAATTTCCTCCAGGTTCGTTGGAATGTAAAATTTCTTCAAAAAAAGAACATTTAGCAATTTTTGGCAGCCAGATTTGAAACAAATCAAACTGTCTCTTCTTTAGGTAAGGAGTAAACCAATAATCATCCAACTAAAAAACTAAATGTTGTAAGGTTGGCAATTAATTTGATATTGTCAGAAAAACAGATGGAAGTAGATAAGTTAGAATGACTCAGATTCCAGCGTGAGCCTCTGGTTATTACCAGCCCACTGGCTGATAATGGAAGGTAGGCTGCCAGCCCCTCAGCTCAGGCTCAAGGAAAGTTGTGCATTGCGTGTAGTGTGTGAGGTGCATGAGCAACCTGTCCCCAAAGTTCTATAAAGATTCCAAGACATAAAGCTACAAATACTTTGCTGCACCCTTCATTGTCCATGAATTTCATTCATTGAATTCTATGAGACAAAGGACCCTAGACTACACCTGATCAAAGCTACATCAATAGGTTGAACAACATTTAAATGCCATTGATATCAACGGATATTGTGGATTCATTATACATTTTTTCATCCTAAACTAATTTTTTTAATATAAGTGGAGGAAAAAGTGACAGAGGAAGAGTTAGACAATGAAAGAGAACACAGAAGAAGAGCGCTGTCCTTGAGCAAAAACAAATCGCTCTTGTCTTATTTTTGATATTTGTGGCTAAATCTCCATGCACTCAGTATATTGAGGTATTTCCCATCCCAATCAGCCTTCCCCAAGTAGAATAAGATCATTTATAATAAATGTTTTATCCACATAAATAATCATATATTCAACTGCAACATGGCAGAGATCCTCAAACCACTAGGCTGTTATTAATATACTTTTCTTTATGTTTCAGTACTTTTGGCACATGGCTTTCTCAGGCCATTTTAGCTTAATATTAAAAGTTCCATCTCAATACATAAACAGTGGCATGGCAGAGATGCCTAAATTCACAGAGTTTTGAGATATTTGTTGCCCCAAACTGTGAACATGCAAGTTGTCTAAGTGTTCTCTTTCATGCTCCTGTCTGCATTATTTCATTAGATAATGAAATGGGCTGCCCTTTCTGTCCATCGCTAGAGCAGCTGGAGACAGCATTGGCTACCTGGCAGAACTTTCGTAGAAGGATCTTTCTTAGCAGCAGATAAACCCAGGGATCCAAGATCTGGTTCAAGGAAGCCAGACGAACAGCTATTAAGAAGAAGTTGCATTCTTTTGGCTTTCCTGCCTGTGTCTTGCAGTGTTCAACTGATGTCTGATTGAAGATCATTTTCAACATCATTATCTAAGAAAGAAAGACAAATCATTATGAGAAGGATTAATAAGGTCATATATATCTGCAGAGCATCTTGCACCTTCTGGATTTTAAACAAGTTGGTTGCATTGAAATGATGACAGCAACAACATTTACAGACACAGAACACATTATATGATATGGATTGTCCTACATTTTTCTTTGCTGTTTGACATGCTGTAGCTTTGTAAATGTGTGTGTTCTCTAGCTCTTGGTCCTTGGAATTTAGAAAGATTAGAAATAAAACATTACAAAATTAGCCAAATTTGTGTCTTATAGAAAACTCCAGTACAGTGAGACCCAATGAGAGACAACTCTAACAAAAACACATTTAAACATAAATGACACTACTTCTTAAAAAAATTCCTCTGAATAAAAAGCAAGAAACAAAAAGGAGAAAAATATTATAACAAAATTGTTGTTATTAATATTGGTTAGTATTTTTGCATCTTTAAGTTGAAGGCACCATTTCAATTTCTTCATTTTGTACTTAACGACTGACATAAGTATGATTACTACCTCCTTTCTGCAATTGCAGAAACAAAGATTTAATAAAGTCAAATGACTGAGTCGAACTTAAATATAAGCTTACTAAGTATCTTACCATTTTTTAGTTCCTTTCCATACATTAAAATGCATAATCCATGATGATAGGAATTTAGGACTATTTATTCTCCCCTCTAGCAGATTGTTAGCATCTAGACCAATATTTATCAGATACAAGGTGCCTAACAAATACTTGTGAATTAACAAACATTTAGTTTTGAAAGAATATATGGTATACATATGAATATAACATCTTGAATGTACATGTGTTTTCATAGTCATGAATTGTGATTTTCACAAGAGGAAAATAATAAGTGTTCATGTGCATATGAAAAGATGTTCAAACTAATTTTTAATCATCAAAATTAGAAATGAGGAACCATTTTACACTTACTAGATGAATGAAGAAATGTGACACTACAAATGTTAGTATGTGTTGCAAGAACTCTGACACACCTAGAGTGAGAATCCAAACTGGAGCTTGGAATTCTAGCAGCAGCAGACACTCAGATGGTTCATGCTCTGGAATAGATGCTTCTGTTTCCCCAGAATTCAAATACTGAAGCTCCAACACCCAATATGATGGCATTAGATAGAAGGTAGGGCTTTCAGGTGGTAACTAAGCTTACATTTGGTCATGAATATGGTGGCCATAATGGGATCATCGTACTTAAAAGAAGATGAAGGGGTACCAAAAGTTCCTCTCACTACCTTGCTATAAGGATAAATCAAAAAGATAGTTGTTGAATGAAGAGGAAAAGGAGTGACATTGTTAAAAAAGAAATGTACTCTTTATCTGAGTATGTAGCATTCATGCCTCTGTCCATCACCTTTACAGTATCTATAAAAAATTGAAAAACATAAAAGAAGATATTTCTCATAACTCCAAAACGGGCTTCCAACAGGAATCAAATCAGCCAGCACTTCAATCTTGGACTCTCTAACCTCCAGAACTCTCAGAATATGTGTCTGTCATTTGAGATATCCCATGATGGTATTTTATTCTAGTAATATGAACACCAAGTATATACGAAGTCAATTTACCAAAGATTCAACTTTCTGAATTCCAGCTCTAAATCAAGAGTGTCTTTCCACTCTTGACTGGATAAAACTTTAACTTAAAGATAATTCCTGCTTCGACATTTGTTTTAAGTATTATATACCACCAAGTAGCCCACAGGGGTTCTAATGTCAGCTATATTTCATTGGTTTAGAATAGGTCTTTATTCTTTCCTACATCTTGGCCTTTATAATTGTCTCCACTTCTGAAATACTTTGTATCTTATTAACCATTTCAACTTCTGAAAATTCCTCCTTGGCCTTTTCTGATCATTACAAACCTCTGTCCTCTGGAGGCTTACAATATGTGGACATCAGATAGAAACCTTAGGGCCCACAGGATTACAGTGGACACTAACCTGTCTCCAGGGTTAGTGAACTTTTCCACAAGCAAATGAACAAAAGAAGTGTTGACATATCTGAATATTTACTCTGACAGAAAGGATATTTAGCTACTAGGTTTGACCATTTTCTACTCTTCTTGGCAAAATGGGCCTCTACTATACGTTAAAGTTTCATATATTAGTTTAGTATTAGTAAATATTGGGTTCTTAACTCCCCATGTTCTGTCTTTTCCTACCCAGCTGATAATTAATGGTTGCAGTATAGATAACTAAACTAGAAAAGAGAATTGGGTCATAGGATTTCTGATATTGCTAATTCTGTTCTGTTGTCTCAATTTACTAATTTTTTATGGTCCTGGGGCTTAAGCTCAGGGCTTGTGTGTTGTTCTTGAACATTTTTGCTAAAGGCTTCCAGCTCTTAGATGATTAATTGGAGATAAGACTCTCATGGACTTTTTTGCTTGGGTTGATTTCAAATGTTGATCCTCAGATCTCAGCCTCCAGTATAGCTAGGATTACAGGTGTGAGTCACTAGTGACCAGCTCCCAATTTTATTTTTTAAATACAAGTAAGAGTAAAGAAGCAGGCAGGAAGGTAAGTACAAAGACAAATAAGAGAGAAGAAAGTTTACACCAACATTCTCAAAGGCTATAAGTAGACACTGATCTCCTGGCATTTCCCATTTTCTTATTCAATGGCAGCTTATTCTTAATCTGCTCACTGGCAAAGGGAACGAGAACTACCAGTCTGATCTATAAAACGAACTCAAGCCTTGGGATATAATTTCTGGTCATTGACTAGGTTGCCCCCCAATATGCAAACAAAATAACTGCTCTGTAAACAAGAGGAAGGAAATGGGGAGAAAAACAGGGAGACAGCTACATATATTCTAACCCTGCCATTTTCATTCATATAAGTTTTTCCAAGGAGTTTCATTCAGGAAAAGCAAAACTTAGCTATGCAACAAAAACTGTTTAGATAGCCGGGCACCGGAGGCTCACGCCTGTCATACTAGCTACTCAGGAGGCTGAGATCTGAGGATTGCAGTTCGAAGCCAGCCTGGGCAGGAAAGCCCGTGACTCTTTATCTCCAATAAACCACTAGGAAACCGGAAGTGACCCTGTGGCTCAAGAGGTAGAGTGCTAGCTTTGAGCTGAAGAGCTGAGGGATAGCTCCCAGGCCCAGATTTCAAGCCTCACAACCAATAACAACAACAACAAAAAGTTTAGATAAGCATTAGCTATCAAGCAACCGAAGCTCGAGGTGTAGCTCAGTTTTTGCAACACTTGCAGGGCATGAACAAAATGCTGGGACTGATTCCCAGTACCACATTCAAAAAATAAATAAATAAATAAAGCACACTTCTAGCATCTGATATGAAGCTCAGGTAAGTACAACTGAGTCCTGTAACAGGTCAATATAGAAATTTGGTGAAAAGCCCAGAACATCACTATTTTAATTATATGAGGTGTGGAATTATATGAGTTTTTAGTTATATAAGTTGTGGAAGCAACATAAATTATTAAATAATTTCTTATAGAGCAATAGTCATTAAATTTTGTATGCATGTTAAATCATTTTGTCACATAAGAAAATCTTCTATTTAAAGAAAGTAGATGTTTACTCCTCTCATTAATTGCTGTGTGTTATCATACACCAAATAATGAACAAAAATATGTTCATTATTCTGTCTTTCCTACTTTTATAAACCACCAGAATAATTTTTGTGTAGCTCTCTTAGCAACTTACTTCATTCAGTGGTCTAATATATTTGACTAGTTCCAGAAAGCCTTCTAGATTTGGTCTAATATTATCCAAAAGTCACTTTAACTTTCATTTTCTTTTACACCATAATGTATTTCTTTTGTTTTTTATGATCAGGGAAATTAAAAAATTACTTACTAAAATGATACTTCAGCTACTATACACAGTTCTTTTTTAAAAAATTACTTTTTGTGAGATTAATAATTTTAAATTATTTTATAAGGCTAATATAGGTTTACATTGTTTAGTACACTGCAATTTCCTGTAATTTCCTATTGACAATGCAATGATTATGAAATTATGAAATCAAGCTCTGTAAGCAATAGCTGGCACATGAGTAGACACTCTAGCTTTTCCCAGAAATCAGGAGACGTGCAATGGGGAGATAATTGGAATTAGAAAGCAGTGGGCATGATACTGCCATTTCCAAATGAGGGCAGAGATGGAGTAGGGCTCCAAGTCCTCATCTAATTTTGAACATAAATGTAAATTTGCATCTCTTTGTGGACTTTCCTATACTTGAGAAACTAAAAAGTGATTACAGATATTTGCCTATGCATTTGAAAAAAAAATTGACAACTGTCCAGACTTTGAGAGGAAACTTTTGGCATGAACAAAGATTTCTAGCAGAATTTAATAATGTTATTGAAATTCTACTCCTTATACAGAGAAGGGACAAAAAAAAGCAAAATTCTACCAGTGCAGAAGTGATGTTTTCAAAAATAAATGCATATATATACATCAAGAATATGCTTCTGAACATCTACATACAAGAAATGAGCTGAGGTTGACACTGATAAAGATGTATTGTACTCATAAATTGATGTGTTGAATTGAAACCCCTCTGTAAACTACTTAAAGACAACTTTTTGGGGGGGTCCAGTTGTGGGGCCTGAACTCTGGGCCTTGGCGCTGTCCCTCAGCTCTTCAGCTCAAGGCTAACGCTCTACCACTTGAGCCACAGCGCCACTTCCGGCTTTTTTTCTTTTTGCTTATGTGGTGCTAGGGAATCGAACCCAGGGCCTCATGCATGCAAGGCAAGCACTCTACCACTGAGCCATCTTCCCAGCCCTTAAAGACAATTTTTAAAGTTAAACATAAATAAGCAATATAAATTATCTCCTTGAGAGAGGTAAGATCAGTTCCCTCTGGTCAGAGGTATAGCTCTTCTAAGAATATCTTCTCCAGCTCCACATAACTTCCATAGGCCTTCTTGCCTTCCTCCTGGTCATCAGCTGGAATGACAGCTGTCCATACTCAAGACAGCTAAAACACAAC